AGAATCACTGAATGAGAAAAACAGAATTTTAAGTCACCATTATGGAGATTAGTGTTTGCTTTAGTTGGGCTCTTGACCCTTATTTCTTTAACTTTAGATTTTGTTTGGCTGCTGTACATGAGTTATAACAGCCAGATGAACAAATAGAAAAGGTGATCTGATGGTGATGTGTTTTAACACAATCATTTAACCCGAATCACTGAATTCATATAGAATCTAATTTCTGAGTGAGGTTTACTTTATTAATTATAGCAGCAGTGACCTTGTGCAGCATAATATTCTCAAAATCTACAGAATATTCAAAATAATTTCTTAAAAGCTTTTCTTATATAATTTTTTACTTCTTTATAATGTTAAGACACAGAGACATCAATAATTAGCCTGTGAATCTCAACAATGGTAACAGTTATAAAGCATGTTGCATTCTTGGTGCCACCAATTAAAACTCATTCATGGCTCCCATCATGCATTGCTGCATGAATAAATAATGAGCTTATGTTCAGAGGTGATCTGTTTGCCACCATTGCTGAGATTAGTGTGTTAATTCTTGATGTCTGTGTATGCCTTTATAAAATATTTTTGGGATATTTTTTAATTTTTTTAAAATAATTTTTCATTGAAAAGGTTAAAAATGTTATGTCCTAAAATGACCATGCTGCAAAAATCCTTAAGGTAATTTTAACTTAGAATTGATGCTCTTGACAAGTTCAGCAATTCAGGTCAATTGATGATTGTGTTGAAACACAACCAACACCATCAGATAGCCTTTTTTCATCTGGCTGTTATAAGTCACAGACAACAGCCAGACAAAATCTAAAGTTAAAGAATTAAGGGTCAAGAGCCCAACTAAACCAAACACTAATCTCCATAATGGTGACTTAAAATGTCTGTTTTTCTCCTTCAGTGATTCTGCTTGTTAACATCAGGTGTCTTCAATGATGCTCAATCATCATTCAATTATTCACTTAATTATCTCATTAACTTTAACACTGATTCAGTGTTCATTTAACACTCTGCTCAGAGTTTATATAATTCTCACTTCTCGGTGTTAATTTAATACTCTCAGTGTTAATTTAACACTGGGGATTTTGCTGTGATGTGAGCTAACAATAACTGAAATGTTTTATTCTTTTGCTAAATACTTACTTGTGTTTTCTGACGACGAGTTAGATGAACGAGGCAAACTTGAGCACTGTAGGGGGCGTGAAAGCGACGAGGCGAAAGCGCCGAAAATGTGTAACGATCGATTGGTTACCAAGCCAGTGGGTGTTTCCATACCTGGAGCAGCAAAGGACTAAAACTCAGGGCAAATTATGAACCTTTTTTAATTTATTAATTTATTTGTATTAATGATTGGTTAATACTTTTATTATTCCGAACACAATCACAAAAAAGAAACAAAAACGCGTGTATTTGTGAGCAAAAAAAGTCTAAATCAGAGAGCAGAACAAATAGAGCAGAACAAATAAAGCAGACAGAGACATAACTACTATAACTAGCATAAATGATTCACATTGAATTATTGAAAAGTCTTTAAACATTTTGTTTCACGGAAATTGATCATTCAGAATTAAACTGTAAAAAATAATCCCCCGACTATTACTGAGCAAGCGTGTAATATTATATGTAGTAACAACCGCCCCCATTAGAGAAAATGTTTTTGTGCAAAATAAAAAAATAATAATAATAATAATAATTATGCAGTTCGGCAGCTGCACGAGATGAAATCGTGAATCTTCGTACGTTTGAAGGGGCGGGACGATGACGTTGCCTATAATACATTTCTGCGTACAATGCACACGCATTTTCAATCAATAGAAGTTTAACGGGAGGGTTTTGCGTACCATATGAACGCAAAATGTGACTTTGGCGTGTAAATACTATGCCAAATGAAAATGAAAACTCGTGGTATAGATACGCAGTAGGAAGAGACTGGGTTGTTCGCGAGCACAGAGGCCGAAATAATGACTCACCGCCCTCCTGTAAAAATAAAACGTCGCTGTCTACGTGCTATGAGCACCATCGCTGTCAATGAGATATCGCTGTCTGTGGTGCTGAAACATTTTTACTTGACTGGCAAACTGCACAGCAAAATCCCCAGTGTTAAATTAACACTGAGAGTGTTAAATTAACACCGAGAAGTGAGAATTATATAAACTCTGAGCAGAGTGTTAAATGAACACTGAATCAGTGTTAAAGTTAATGAGATAATTAAGTGAATAATTAATGATGATTGAGCATCATTGAAGACACCTTGATGTTAACAAGCAGAATCACTTGAAGGAGAAAAACAGACATTTTAAGTCACCATTATGGAG